AGTACCGTTTCAGATACGGCCTGGAGTCTTTGTGGGCCATTAATTCGGCAACTGTATTTTCATTAAGTTTTATTCCTGTGCTTACTTCCAGGTCGTACCTGTCACGGTCATGCCTCGGGCATTCTAACAGAAGGTGTTGGATTGTCTCCGGTACCTCGGGGTCGCACACACAGGCCGGACTATCTTTTAATTTAAATTTGTGGAGATACGCTGCGAAGCCACCATGTCCTGTCAGTAACTGTGCCCAAATCGATGTCCTGTCGAGGCACCTCAAGACCCTGTAAGCGCGTGATACATCGGGGAAGAACATGCGGGTGACTTCAGCCGTCGCTCCGCCGGTGTACCTCTCGTTCCAGCGATGAACCGCTCCCTCCCTGATACGTCTTTTGACGTATGATACTGGACACCTGTCGTAGGCCGGGGCGACCCTGGACTGAGCCGCCGCTAGCCTCGCCAACTCGTCGGCGCGCTCGTTGCCGGGGATCCCGACGTGAGCCTTCACCCAAAAGAACCGGAGGATTTTACCTCTCCCTTCCAACTCCCTAATATTCTTTCGAATATGGGTAGCGAGAGGGTGGTGCGTTTCCGAGTTTCGGATCAAGTCCAGCGAGGAACGGGAGTCGCTGAGCACCGCCGCGCACCCGAAGCCACCCCGGACAACCAGGTCTGTAGCCCTGGCTATCGCGAGCAGCTCGGCCTGAAAGACGGTGCACATCGACTCCAGCCTCATCCTCTTGGTCCGAATCTCGGTCCCATCCCGCCAGTAGGAGTACGCTGCCCCGACCCCGTCCACCGATTTACTACCGTCAGTGTAAATCAGATGAGCGGGGAGCTGCAGCCGAGCAACAGTTTCGGGGAGCATATCCTCCAGACACCGATAATCAGCATCCGGCTCACTGGCGGGATGAGGGGCCTTGATAAAGGCCTCACGCTCCTCCAGTTCGCGGGATTCCAGCTCATCAATCGGGCGACCCCTTTTGCACTCATACAGTCGCGCCACCTCCCAGACTCGAAGGTCTAGCGGGAGGAGACCCGACAGCGTGAGCGCCGCGTGGAGCGACACCGTCCGATGCGACTTGGCGATCTTCTGTGCAAAACCCCTTTGGACGGTAGCAAAGATCTTCTGCACAGAGATCTTCTCGGCGGCCTTCGCCCAGGAGCTCGCGCCGTACAGTATAGTGGGTTCGACCACGGCAAAATATATCGTTCTGATGATCTCCGGGCACAAGCCCCATTCCACCCGAGCCATCGTCGACAGTTTCCTATACAAGTTTGTTGCCTTACGACAGACATAGGCAACGTGTTGATTAAATGTTAGTTTACTGTCGACGATGACTCCGAGGATCTTGAGCTCGGTCACCATCGAGATGTCAACGCCGCCCATCTGCACGACCGGAGTGTCATACTTAAGCTTTCGCGTGACTACCATCGCCTGGGTTTTTTCGGCGGAAAAGCGAAGCTTATTCGTGACACCCCAGTCGCGCACACGGGCCAAAGCGGCGTTGGCTTCCCGCTGGATTTCGAGCGCCGTTTGTCCGGAGAACACCAGAACGATATCGTCCGCGAACGCCTGCACGTACGCGCCCAGCCCATCCAAGGTGTCCAGGAGGGGGTCCAGCAGCATGTTCCAGAAGAGAGGTCCACCGATGGAGCCCTGCACGCATCCTTTTGTCTGCGGCTTCCGCACTGTTCTTCCCGCATAATGTACCACCACGCTCCGATCCCGAAAGTAGTCCTCGACAAGACGCCTCAAATTAACGGGGATGCCTTTCTCTATCATTCTGCACTTTATAGCCGGCCACCATGCGTTGTCGAATGCCCCCTCGATGTCGAGGGAAACCAATAGGGCGGTCTCCTTCCTGTGGAGGATGCTCCTGACGTGCTGCGTCAGGTCATACAGCGCGTCCTCCGTGCTGCGCTGCGGTGTGAAGCCGTACTGCCTCGCATTGGACTTGGGCAAGACGTGCCATCTTAACCTTCGGCATATAATTTTTTCCAGTAGCTTGCCCAAGGTGGACAGTAGTCCAATAGGTCGGTACGACTTTGCGCGCGCATAGTCTGGTCGCGCCGGTTTCCTTAGCACCACGACAGCAGCCTCCTTCCATGGCGCTGGGAAGCACGCCAGGTCAAGACACCGGTTCAGGATGGCTAAAAACAGCTCCACCTCTGCATATATTGCAGTGCAACATATATCGCTGGTGAAGCCATCCGGACCCGGTGCCTTTTTGGGATTGGCGCTGCGCAGAGTCCGGAGCAGCTCCCCCTTGGTGATCGGGGGGTCGTCCGTTTCTCCCGGAAGGCGCATGCTGACCAGGTCCGCCTTGTCTCTGATGACGGTGTGGATCTCATGATCCACACCGTGATCGTCATCGGCAAAGAACGTCCCGGCCAGCAGCGCGATGGATTGATCCGGGCTCTGCACAACTCCATCCTCGACGAGTAGCTGGTCCTCTTGATGACCTGACGTTCTTCTCAGCACCCGGTAGATCCCATCCCACATTGATTCCCTCTCCTGCTTCGAGCAAAACTCCTTCCAGCTCTCCGTTTGGGCAACGACAACCCTCCTCTCGTAGTCTGCCTTGGCGCCCAGGTAGTCGTCCACAACATGCTGTCTGCGCCGCGGCGCGGCACACCGGATTCTACGGCGTTTCGTGTTCACGTCGCGACGCATCCCTTCCAATTCGTCGTTCCACCAAGGAAAGCGTTTGTTCTGTTTGGGTGGTTTGTGGGGCGGAATTGTTTCCTCGCACGCCTCGCCCACACATTCAATGAAATCTTTAACCACCCCCTCTAATTCAGTCTTGTTGTTTATGTTATTAATTCGCTCCAGGTTTAGTCCCCGGGTTGTCATCCTACTACGCATTTCCTCGGTGAAACGACCCCATTCAGCCTTCCGGGTGTTGAAGCGTCGAGTAGTCCACCGGGTACCTCCCCGAGGGGGCACCCTGAGACCCAGAACCACACGTATCGCCCTGTGATCTGAGCTAGTCACGGAGTCGTCCACTTTCCACTCTCGGACGCTTCTCAACAATCCGTGGGTGCAGACGGTAACGTCGACGTGACTCGTGTACCTCCTGCCTCCACGGATTGTATCGAAGGTGGGGACGACTCCTGTGTTCAACACGTGCAGCTCCAGGTCGTCAAAGAACCCCCTCAAGGTCTCCCCTCTGGTGTCCTCCTCGACGCTCCCCCACCACGGACTCCATGCATTCCAATCACCTCCCACGATGATCCTGTTGGTACCGACCCGACCCATGAAGTCACGCAATTGCGCGAGGTACGGCTCGATGTCCTCCGTGCCCTCAAGGTACACAGAGATAGCCGCCATGGTCCAGTCGCCCGCCTTCAGAACGACAGCCACAATATTCTCAGTGACGATCTGAGGGTTCACATGAACCTCCAGATCGACACCGAAGACCATGACTGCCGCCTTGACGGGCTTGGTCCTCGCAGCCTCCCTCTGTATCACCCTGACGCCACGGAAGCTGCCGACCCGCCCCTCCGCGCCGACGTAAGGCTCCTGGACAAGGGCGACCCCAACACTGCCCCTGTGAGAAGACATGACTAACTCCTGAGTCGCCAAGCGTCCACGCTGGAGATTGGCCTGGTATACCACAAAGTTTCCCTCACACACTTGATCTGCTGCGGCGCCCTTAGCAATAGCTCACCGAGGCACGCGCTATCGCGTCCCATTTTTGTCGAACGGGGCAGTCGCCACTGAACGCGTTATGTCCCGCTCCCCGTCGCCCGGCCCGGTCGCAATTCCGACAGACGGGGACCCCCCCGCCACCGCGGGAAGGACACTCCGCACGGTCGTGCTCCCCCCCGCAATGGCCGCAGAGGTCCACCTTCTCCCTACAGAACTTGCGACCGTGGCCGTACCCCAGACAGCGAGTACACTGCACCAGTGGCGACTGGTCCTCGGCGGTCAGGCCCTGGATGTCAATGTATATCCTCTCCGCCTCAGTCAGCCTGCGCCATACCTGAGGGGAGACCTGTAGGATTACATGGGCCTGATGCGGATTTCGCGCTTTCTTGCGGTAAGCCTCTTTGACCCTAAAGTGGCTCGGATCCATGTCCAGCCACAATCTCTTATTTTGGACCTTGAGGGACTCCACAATGTCCTTTTCAGAGTTGTAGCTGAACACGTTCCTTATCACCACTCTCGGGTCCCGGCTCGCCGCAGGCTCGAACTTGAGGCCGTCGGTGTTCTTCAGCTGGTCCTCGGTTTTCTTTAAGTCTTCCTTATTACCGCAGCAGATCACTATCTTACCATCTCTAACTTTCCTTACCCTTTCGATCTGCATCCCCGACCTACGCGCGTCGAGGGCCTCCCTGACTTTACCTATCACGTTCTCACTCGTATCCGTCTCCGTACATGAGGATACGATCAGGGCGTGGCCCGGGCGGCAAGGGAGGGGCTGGGTCTTGGGTTTTGGGGCCCTCAATGTCTCGGCGTACGTAGCCACCGGGGCCTTGAGGGCCTCCATGGCTTTCCCGGTCTCCCTTACGGTTTCTCCATTTTTCCTCACCCCCTCCCCGACCTCCCCAACCTGCACCCCGACCGCCTCGACTTTCATACCTGTCTCTTTTATCACCTTGCATACATCTTCTGTCATCCTTCCCATGTTTTCCGTCACTTTTGCACTTTCCTCCACTTTTTTACTAGTCCGTTCACTCGTCTTCCTTACTTCCTTCATTTCTTCCATTAGGCCCTCTAGTTTTTTAATGTTCCCGCACAGCGCCCTACCCGGGGGATACTCGTCAAACCGGTTCATAATGTCGTGATTTATCATTTTCTTGATTGTTTCAGTGTTGGTGACGAGCTCCCCGATTTTTACCCCAATGTCCTTATGCATGCCCCGAGCCAGCTCCTCTATTACTCTATCCTTTTCTTCCACTGATTTTCTGAGCTCTTTTTCTTTTTCGGACCGCAACTGCTCCAGCTGGAGCTCCAGGGAACGAAGGCGCTCGTCCACCTGGAGGACTGTCCCGTACAGTCCTGACAGACTGTCCAGAACGCCCTCCTTGATGGTCGACTTCAAGTTCCCCGACGACTCCAGCTGGGCCTTTGCGGCCTGGAATAATCTATTTGCTCTTGCAGTTGGGCTCTCTGTCGGGCGGGCACTGTGCTGTGGCAATTGTTGGGCGATGGCTTCGCGCGGTTTCTTGTCTTCCTTTCGCTCCGTGTGTGCGACCGTTATGCTTTTGACGTTCTTCCCGAGAGGCGGGGACATGTTTACTAATTATTACACTTAACCTAGCTAACACAATTGAATAATTAATACACGTCACCAATAGGGGTGACGGTCAGACAAAAAATAAATTAATAAAAATAATAAATGAAAATTTTATATATATAAATTAAATATTAGAATCTTAACGTCCCCAATATGAAGGACGGTCTACGGCACAAAACACAAAATACAAAATAATTTAGCTTATTTACTAGCTTAACGTCCCCAATAGGGGGGACGGTCTACAATAAAAGGGATAATAAATAGTAATTAGAATTAGATATTAAAGTAATTTGACGTCCCCAATAGGAGGGACGACGGTCTATAAAGCAAGGTAAACACAAAAATATAAAAATAATTTTAATTTAGGTAGCTAGCTTAACGTCCCCAATAGGAGGGACGGTGTACGACACAAAAATAAATTAAAAAACTAGTAACCAGACACTGGTCTGGTGTCCAGAAGCCTGCAGGATCCTTACTTTGACTAAAGTTTTGGAAAAAAGCGTCAATAATTTTTCGACTCTAGATAGAGTCGATCTCAGCCTCTCACCGGATAGGTCTCTCGGAGCCCTCTCCAACGAACCCAAACACGGCCACCCTAGTCCAAAGGGTTCCCGAGAAAACCCAGCCCGAAATTCTGGTTGTCAGCGTCAGATGGCTCCCAGAATCCGTTAACCTACGGTTTTCTCCGGAACCGTTCGTCCGAATACCACCGTGCTTAGGCTCCCCGGAATGGTCTCGCTGAGGTCCGACTTGTGGGACAGGTTTCAGCTCCGAATAATTTCAGGTCCTGAAAGCTCCTGAAAGATTCTAAATCTAGTAGAGAAGGTCAGGCCGACAATCCCAGTGAAAACGCGAGCCCTCTACGACCACTGGTTCGGGTGATACAGCAATTTAAAATTTATTTTGACAGTAGAGGATCTGTCAAATTTAAAATTGTCCGAGCTATATTTTAACTTCCAGCGGTCACAGAACACCCGTGCTTGGACTCTCTGTATTCGTCTCCACCAGTGCTACTCAATGAGATTGTTTTCAGGCACCTGAAAAATTTCAGCCCCGATTCCGCTGAAAACTACTTGATAGATTAGAGCTTGATCCTCCAATTACTAATGTGAAAACCGCAACTCTCCACGCCTCACAGGAGCGGAGATATTTGATATTAAAGTTTTACAAAATGGCCGCCCAGCTGTCAAATGCTGGCTTTAAACCGCTATATCTCCGCAACCGCTGATCGGAAAAAGTTGCGGTTTGGACAGCCACTCGTGTCTTGATCTCCCCTATACTACAGCAGCGGTTTTGAGGCTAAAACCAACAAGTGCCGAAAAATGGCACTTTAACCTATCCACGTTATTATTCCTAGTTTCCCACGACAAATCGTGGCAAAACGAGTTCGCTAAGCCAAATACCCTTAGAGATATTAAGTTTTGAAATTTTTAACCTTGTCAACCAAGTTGGACGAAATAGTCTATTTTCGTTATTTCCGAAGGTATTTGTCGCGAGTTTGGGCTTAAACTAGCTGAAATATACACTAATAAGGGAATTCTGGTGTCAGAATTTAATTAATACTATTTAATTTGATTTTATGTTAAAAAATTGCAAAAAATTGAATAACTTTATGGTTTATGGTGATAAAAATTTTCTAAAAATATCAAAATTTGTGTAAAAATAAGGGCTATCTGGTAAAAATTTAAAATATTTAGAAAAAGTACTTTTTCAGGAATAAGACCTGAAAAACGGATTTTATAAGGTTTTAATGATTTTAACTCGATTAATATATTCTAAAATTATAAACTTATCGTGGTTGTCTTCTCCCAGTTAGCGCGCACCCAGTTCTTCAAGAAAATCAGCGCCAGCTCCTGAAGGTTTCAGTTGGCAGCCACTCAAAGTTTGCTTATAAAATGGTTAAAATAAACCTGTACAGAAGAGGTAAAATTTTTCTGAAACCAGTTTTGTGATGCCCCAGAAGTTTCCTTTCAGCTCCAAATGTTTCAGCAGCCTGTGACGTCTGGATCGTTAACCTCGTGTGCAGAATTGAGGTTAGAATTTTCAGTAAATTTTTGATAACTCTCGATCCTGAAGCCCGATCACCGCCAAGTTTTCAGTGTCCGACGCAGCTTAGTAAGGCCCACAATATGACACTTTAAAATTTTGGTGTCATCGATCGCGTTTCAAAGTTATAACGATTCGAAGTTTGTTGTTCACTCACTTTTTGTCACTTTTCTCACAATTTTGATGATAACTTTTTGTACGATTAAAAACGGTAAATGCGGGTTATTCCACCACATGCACGGAGTGATTACACAACTTTTGATATATAACACGACTTGGTACGTTCAAAATTTACCAGTAAAAACGATTTTTGATTGCGGAGCGTTACGAAAACGTGGTGTTCTCGGTCACGGTTGGACACAGACTGCGGTTAGGTTAGGTTAGGTTAGGTTAGGTTAGGTTAGGTTAGGTTAGGTTAGGTTAGGTTAGGTTAGGTTAGGTTAGGTTAGGTTAGGTTAGGTTAGGTTAGGTTAGGTTAGGTTAGGTTAGGTTAGGTTAGGTTAGGTTAGGTTAGGTTAGGTTAGGTTAGGTTAGGTTAGGTTAGGTTAGGTTAGGTTAGGTTAGGTTAGGTTAGGTTAGGTTAGGTTAGGTTGGGGGTCCCCCCACAGCGTTGACTTCCTCGTAGTGACCCCTGGGCAACGTCGCGCCTGACCACCGTAACGGAGTGGCAGGCCGGCGGCTAACGAACGCTGTGAATCGGTTGCTTAAGTTGTCGTGAGCTCTCGATATTGTTGGTGGCAATGCCACAACCCTTGAGGGACGCCTCCGGGCGTTTTCTCCCAAAAGGCCCTTCTCAGGGCCAACCCAAAGGCCCTTCTCAGGGCCAACTTAAAGGCCCTTCTCAGGGCCAACCCAAGTCCCGGGATGCTTCGGCATCGGAGACCAGCCGCGCACCATCTGCGGCAAGTTTGTTACGAGGCGGTGACATGGTGTCGGACTTATCTGACAACGAGTCGGTTTTGAGTGGCACGACTGGCGGTTCTACACGCCAGTCCAGAAAGCGGGCCTTCCTCAGGCAGGACTCGAGAGGCTCTCCGGACCAAGCGGAGAAGCCCCCAAAGCGGGCGGTTGTACAGGCGGACCTGGAGGAGAGGATCGCTTCAAAAGAACAGCGGACCCGAACCACCAGAGCCAAGGCTGGCTACGGCGCCTCCAGCGTCCTCTACGCGGACCACTCCGTAGAGGAAATGGAGCGCATGGCTCTTGAGGACCAGGAGGAGATCTTGGAGGTGGCATCCAAGTCCTCCAATCTGAAAGGGACCTTTCAGAAGGCCCTGAAATGCCGGGCAGCGAGCTTGCTCGGCATCGTAAAGGAGTTGGCGCAGCGCACCACCTCCGACGAAACGCGGCAACTGCAGGCGAAGGTGGATCGCCTGCAAAAAGAGGTGTCGGCGCTGCACGCGCGCGTTGCCGAGCTCATGGCCCGGCCTGAGGGGACGTCGGAAGGTCCAGCGTCAATGCTCGCCCCCTCGAACCTTGAGGATATAATCCGCAAGGTCATCATGGAGGAGAGGGCTTTCACCAGGGCCTGCTTCGCGGGCATAGAGGACCGGCTTCTGCCAGAGAAGCGGCTCCGCCCTCCGCTCGCATCGGATAGGGTGCCTGAGAGGACCCCTGGCGCACCGGGTCCTTCAACGGCCCCAGCCCAGCGGGAGCAACCCAAGGGCAAAGGAAAGGGTAAGGGCAAGAAGACCACCCCGGCCGCCCCGACTGCCCAGACAGCCCCTCAAACCCTACCTAGGGAGGACCCACTCCTTCCCTCCACCACCCCTTCTAACCAGCCGTGGGTGAAGGTGGTGTCGAGGAAGAAGAAGGGGAAGAAGTCGGCCCCCAAGCCCCCTGCAGTCAAGCCTGCAGCCGCAGTGGAAAAGAGGAAGAAACTCCCTCTTCCTCCAAAAACCGCAGCCGTGGTGGTCACGTTGACCCCAGAGGCAGCACAGCGAGGGGAGACGTACGAGTCTGTGTTGAGGCGGGCTCGTACCAACGTTGACCCCGCGCAACTCGGAGCGGGTAGGGTCACGTGCCGGAAGACCCAAACGGGGGCTCGTATCTTCGAGTTCTCCGGGGCCCAAGGTGGAACCAAGGCGGAACTCTTTGCGGCGAAGCTCAGAGAGGCTGTCGCAGACACGGCCAAGGTCTTGAGGCCGGTGAAATGTGTGGCTCTTGAGGTGACCGATCTCGACGACACAGTCACCCAAGAAGAGGTAGTAACCGCGGTTGCGGCGGCGGGGGGCTGCGCCGTCGAATCGATCAAGGGCCGCGCCATTAGACCAGGCCGCGGGGGTATGGGCACGATGCGATTGGAGTGCCCCATCGCGTGTGCCAAGGCGGTCCTCGCCAAGGGTCGCCTGCCAGTGGGGCTTAGCTCGGGTGGTGTCCGAGCGCTTGAGGACGAGCCGATGCGCTGTTTTAAGTGCTTCGGCATCGGTCACACCCGGGCTCTTTGTCCGTCGTCTGCCGAGCGCAAGGAGCTGTGTTTCCGCTGCGGTAAGGAGGGGCATAGGTCGGCCACCTGCAGGGCTACTGCTCCGCATTGCGCTGTGTGTGCTGCCAACGGTCGTCCATCTGACCACGTGATGACAGGAAGGAAATGCCGTCCTCCCCTAAAGAAGGGCAAAGCGCAGGCGCCGATGCGACCTGCCACTACTGCTGCCGCCACTGAAGCCCCAGTTCCAGTGCTGGTCACCGAGGGAAGTGCCATGAACACGGATTAATGGCTGGGCAACTAAGACGTGTTCTTCAGGCGAACACCAATCACTGTAGAGCGGCCCAGGACCTGCTGGTCCAAACCTTTGCGGAATGGTTGGTGGACGTGGTGGTGGTCGCCGAGCCGTATTCTGTCCCTGGCAGCTGGTTGGGTGACGATAACGGTTCGGTTGCACTGGTGGACGCGGTCTTCCACGGACTCCCCTCCCCTCTCGCTCTTAGAGAGGGGACCGGGATACGTGGCCGCCGCGTGGGGAGACATAGCCTTCGTAGGGGTGTATTTCTCCCCAAACCGCCCTCTATCGGAGTTCGAAAACTTCCTCAACATCCTGGCCAGGGTGGCAGGTAGGGTGGCGCAGCGGCGGGTGCTGGTTGTGGGCGACTTCAACGCCAAGTCTGTGGCATGGGGTAACCCGACTACCGATGCTCGTGGACGCGAGGTGGAGACCTGGTCCGTCTCGTCCGGTCTGTCCCTCCTAAATAGAGGCACAGTCCATACCTGCGTGCGGCGGGAAGGTGGCTCCATCGTGGACCTCGCCTTCGCCTCCCCTTCTTTGGCGGCTTGTATAGTGGAATGGCGGGTGGAGCTGGTGGAGACGTTGTCTGATCACAGATACGTACGGTTCGACATCTCCACACAGGGCTCTCCAAGGGCGCGCGAGGACCGGTCGCATTTCCCGCGCTGGGCGCTGACCCGCCTGGACCGGGAGGCCGCAGCGGAGGCGGCGTTCGTCCAAGACTGGCTGTCGTCTCCTGTCAACGTCCACGATGTGGATACCACGGCGGTCCAGTTGAGGGACTCCCTGACCGAGGTGTGCAATTCTAGCATGCCTCGGTCCCACCGCCCACCTCCTCGACGCGCCGTTTACTGGTGGTCGGAGGAGTTGTCGGAGCTACGGGCCGCATGTGTGAGGGCCAGGCGGGCTTACACAAGGAGCCGGCGGCGGCGCCTCCGCGATCTAACCAACGAGGACCGCCTCTACGCGGCCTATGTGGAGGCGAAGAGGGAGCTGACGGCCAGAATGGGCGCAGCACAGGATCGCGCGAGGGAGGAGATGGCTGAGGGCCTAGACGCTGATCCCTTTGGGAGGCCGTACAGGGCGGCGCGCAACAAACTGCGCCCGTACGGCCCTCCATTGTCCGAGACCCTTGAGCCGTTGTTGCTGGATGGGGTTGTCCAGTCCCTGTTTCCGCGCAGGGACAGCAACTTCGCTCCGCCGGTCATGAGCGCCACGCGGGGTACGGCTGCATCTGTCGCAGAGGAGGTCCCTCCGGTGACGGAGGACGAGCTAGAGAGGGCGGTCTTCTGCCTCCGGGGGAAAAAGACGGCTCCAGGTCCGGACGGCGTCCCCGCAAAGGTGGTGGCCATCGCCGCGTCTCAGATGGGGGAAAGGTTTCGGGACCTGTTCAGTTCTTGCCTGACGTGTGGGAGGTTCCCGAAAGGCTTGGAAGGAGGGCCAATTGTGCCTTCTTCGGAAGGAAGGGCGGCCGGTGGATTCCCCATCGGCATACCGACCCATCGTCTTGCTGGATGAGGTCGGTAAAATGTTCGAGAGGATCGTCGCCGCCCGCATCAACAAGCACTTGTGCACAGTTGGCCCAGGACCTTGGCGGACGCTCAGTTCGGCTTTCGAGCTGAAGCGCTCGACAGTGGACGCCCTCTCCCGACTCAAGGGGCAGGCGAGGGAGGCGATGGAATGCGGGGGATGGACTTGTTGGCTGTGTCATTCGACATATCCAACGCCTTCAACTCCATTCCCCACTCCACCATTCTTGAGGCGCTCCGCTTTCACGGGGTGCCTCCTTATTTGCGGGGATCTCTTGGCGGACTACCTTAGAGGACCGCACCTGTCCTTCTGGTCGGATAAGTCTGGCCAGCTGCGAAGGTACCGCGTCGAGTCCGGTGTTCCGCAGGGCTCTGTTCTAGGACCACTCCTGTGGAACATCGGGTTCGACTGGCTCTTGCGGGGCAACCTCCCCCGTGGCACGTCTGTCATCTGCTATGCAGACGACACGCTCCTCACTGCCCGGGGGAGAAATTTCGGAGAGGCGGCCAGCTTGGCTTCGGCGGGTGGCTCAAGGGTGGTAGAGAGGGTCTCCCGTCTAGGACTGACAGTAGCGCTGCACAAGACTGAGGCCGTGTTCTTCCACGGGTCCCGGCAACGCCAACCGCCTGACGCACACATTCACGTGGAGGGTGTCCGTATTGGGGTGCAGGCCCAGATGAAGTACCTGGGCCTAGTCCTCGATAGCAAGTGGCGCTTCAGCGCGCACTTCAGTGGGCTATCGACACGCCTATTGAGGACTGCGGGCGCCCTCTCGTGGCTCCTCCCAAACCTTGGGAGACCTGGAGACCAATGCCGGCGTCTATACGCCGGCATTCTCAAGAGCATGGCCCTATATGGGGCACCTATCTGGGCGGACTCACTGTGCAGACGGGAGAACGTCGCCGCCATCCGCAGGCCACAAAGGGCCATTGCACAGCGGGTGGCGAGGGCATATCGCACA